GAAGTATTCTTTTATTGTTAGATTCATGTTTACCTTCATAATTACCAAAAGTAAATTAGAATGAAAAAAATTAATTATGCTTGTCATGTAATTATACGTGATAATTGTTCTAATTAAGCTATCTGTAGATGATGACAAGCTTTAAGGCCCTGAAAAATGTTTGCCGCAACGACTTTAGTCCTGTTTGACTGTATGTCAGATTGATAAATTGTATTTTTAGTAGAATGCGCCGTATATATATCATTCTTGTTTACCACAGTTAGGAAAAAGACTAAAAAATATTGGAAAAATATATAATAAATTAGAATGTGTATTATATACAGAACTGTCTTTAGAATATACATAGAATTTATTATCGAGAAAGAAACAGACATCTTGAAGTAAAATCTAAGGAATCGATTCCATTTGATCAGAGAAACGCACTTTCATTGCTCCGAAATTAGTTTGTAAATATGGGACATGAACTCGGAAGCATGTAGACGTGGTAGAATTTGGAAAATAACAGATGCCTTTACGGAAATGTGAGACTTCATTATATTAATCTTGCAGAGCCCAATATACATGTGGCTTTGGTTATGTTATATTTTCAAGGACAAAAGCTTCAAGCAACAACACCCACATCCCAAATTCGAAAAAGAACACAATGTATGTTTAAATGACCGGGTGAGGTACATAATAAACCAGAATTTAAAAAAGTGCAAAGAATAAAGTGCGATGATGCCCAAAAGGCCCTGCACTATACCGGAAGAAGAAGTAGAAGAATAAGGTATTTAAAAAACTGTGTCCATCAACTAAAGATACAGATATACAGAAAAACCCGTTTAGTACGAACACGGATATAGCGAATTCACGGATATAGCGAAGTTTTTCTGGGTCCCCGGCATAATTCTTAACAAATCTTTGTAAAGTTTTACGGTTATAACGAACTCTGATATAACGAATTTACGGATATAGCGAACTGGTTTTGAGTCCCGTTGAGGTTAAATATAATGAAGTTTACATCTTTTATAACGAGCTTTCCAAGATTATAAAAAAATTGATAAACTGAACTGACTTTATTTCCTTTATGCATTTGTATATAAAATTCTAATCATAATAAACACTTTAGTTATCTAAGATATGTTTTGTAACATTTGCTTTTCTAACATATTTGTTAGTAATACCTGAAGGAAAACATGCATATTGCTAATTCGCTAAAATTGTTATACAAATTTGTTATACGGATATAACGAGTTACGGATATATCGAATTAAATTCTCAGGTCCCCAGAACTTCGCTATAACCGAGTTTTACTGTATAGACAACTTAATATCAATTAGAAAATAGTCACCTCCATTTATTTATTGTTTCAATATAATTATCATGTTGAACTCAAAAAGAAGGACAACTCATCATCTGTTACAGCTGCTTCATATTTGGATTATTTTACTGACCAAAAGAGAAGATAAGGTCCAACTAACAACTACCGGTAAGCGTTACAAGTCGACTACAGTTTTTCAATCTTTTTTTTTGATATAATATATGAGAGCTATATTATATATATTTTCCTTATATGGACACGTTTGGAGTTCATGACCCATATTTTGATATTTAGATTTTAGTATCTGAAGTTATAGAACAATACCAAATTCAAACATTCAAGTTTTATTTTCAGCGTCATACATTAGGGGTACGACTGTAGATTTTATTGTATAATTAGTAAATAACCCAATTTTGACTCTATTTCATGATCCCATTTTACTGTTTTAAATTTTGGATAACTTTTATAATTTCATAATACATTCCAGCTTGTTTTTCCTCGATGAAATTGAATCTGTTGTTTAAATACGTATAATTAATTTGGATATAATATGTCGTTTAATAAAAATGTAATTACAAAAGTCTACGAAATGTTTGACTCATCCACAATATTTTTATACAGCAAAGTCTCCAAACATCAAAAGTGTTACAAAATAGGACTTCTATGAAATATTACGAAATAGATTAAAGTAAAATGTTGTAAAAAAAAGGGAGTTGGATTGATGAGAGGTGCAGATTTCCAAAATTGGATCTACAAAGTAATGAATTAATTCATAAATTTTTTGCTTATTTATTTAACGTCCCTATCGAGAAGTACTGCGCTCGTATTAAGATGTCATAACATGCCTTTGGATGATACGAATTAAGACTAAAAACTAGGAACTACATGTAAGAGCCACTGAGCCGTAAGGAATCTTTTAAAGGGCATCTCCTATTATGACCGGCAATCATTGGATCTCCCGTGGAGGACCGTTTTTCACGTTTCATAGGGGGACTTGATCCCATGAAATAAGGATTATCCCATCCCCCTTATTCCGCGATTTCCGAGCAAACGCTCTAATCACGTCTAGACATCTATCTTTGAAATCTCATATTCAAAAGGAATCTTTTAATACAGATTTAAATTATCATTATTTAGACTAAACGATATCTATCGACGGAAAATAAAGATATCTAATAAGAGAGTTATTAAAAACTTACATTGGTGAATATTGAACCTCGTTTGTTGTACTTATGCACTCTCAAGTTCGTATTAAGTATCAATACCTCATCCTCCTTTGCATATTTATTTATTAATTATAATTGAGAATGAGCATTATTTTGACTGAATTTTGAAATAAATATTTTCTTTGTAACTTTGGGAAAAATAAAAAAAAAAATAATTTTCTAACTTTTCTTGTTTGCTCAATAACACAAAGTACAAGTATATTTGTATCATGCTTTTAAAAGCAATAGCCTTTCTCATTGCCATGGAATTATAAAAAACAAGCATTTATAAGTTTTAGATCAGGATATGGAAACAGGAAATATCAGTTTTCAAATTTACTAGGTGAGATTGAGTGTAGAATTTTGTAGAGTTTTTGTAGATATTTGAAAAAATAATTATATAATGATCAAGGGTTTGAATTCAGTATACATCATATTTTATTTCATTTGTTTTGTATGACGTGAATATTCTGTTATATGCAAAAAAAAAGAAAGATTAAGAGATAGTGTTTGTTCTTTAATATATAATGCTTGTAGTTCTATCTGTTATTTCAAAACTTTTCATATCGAAGCAATTAACCTTAACCCTTATGAATTTTGATATAAAAAATTTGAATATCTTAAAAATATTTATAGAAGTTAGAAGAATATTTTACTCAACTATCAAAGTGATGAAGGGACACTTATTTTTTAAAATGACTAATTGAATTAAATTATTTATGATTATACGACAAAAGATACATCAGGTATCATGACACACATTCTTATAACAGTTATAAAAAGAATTTTTTGACATATAAAATTGACATTTTGATAGAAAAATGCGTAAATGAGATTTAAAACCGAATTAACAACATTTTTAAGTACACTTGAACTTCACATTCAGAAAGCTTTAAACACTTACGGAAACTGATTTTTTGGTATTGGAGAAAATATCTCATAAAAAAGGTGTGCATATTGAGACTTTGTCATTCATTTGAAACACATGGTACCTGCCTTATTTTCTCAGGAAAAATTTTAAAAGAAAATGTACTATTTCTGTGCAGAAATCACTACTGATTACTTACATTGAGAAAATTAATGAAAGAAGAATATGGAGATAACGAACAGTATTCAATATCAAAGTCCGTAAAACAATACAAAATAGGAGCAGAGTAGACACGGACCTCTGAAACATCAGAGGTGGGATCAGGTGCCATGGAGGAGTGAGCATCCCCTGCTGATCGGTCACACCCGCCGTGTGCTCCTTGTCATGATCGGGAAATAACGGAAAAATCCGTCGTCAATTCAGTGTGTAAATAATGGACTAACAATTAGAATGAAAAACGTCAGTCAGCATTTGACCCAATGATAAATCGTATTTGCGGACAATATCATTGTATCGATCATAGAACGTTCGAAATGATGACTTTAAACGAGACTGCTGATATACTTGTTTCGTCAACTTGTTTGTCAATAATTTACCTCGTTACTAGATCACTGTAATTGCATAAAACTTTCCTATACGTAGAACTCTTTAGTGTACAGTGTTTGGAGCTGCCTTAAAAAATTCAAATAAAAGCTCGTAAATGTAATAATTTTGTATTCCTTTATGTGTATTCTTTTGACTTCGGATCTACTTTGCATACGTCTTGTGAACATTATCTAAAAATGGCTTTACTGCAATCTGATAATTTAGAATGAAACGATAAATATGAATGAGAATTAAAATATATATCTGCTGCCGTAAAAATGCTAAATTTATATTATCCTTATTCGCTTCTTTGTATCAATCGGTCAACATTTGAAACTCCCTAAATAAATGCCATTTGATAGAAACTTTCTTTTGAAAAAGATACTTAATCTATATCCAAGGTTTAATTCAACCAAATAAACTTTGATTTTTTTTTAAAATATAACAATTATAATGATTATAAAGGGGTATAATAATATAAGTAAATTTATAAGAGAAACAGCGAATTTGTAAATGCATTATAAATAGAAAATGTTTACGATGATTTTTTTTATCTTTCGAAAAAAATATCTGCTTTATCTACGATCTATTAGCAAAACTAATCACTTTTCTTTACATGTGCCCTTAAGCTCCCCTTGTAAGGTGGCCATTATTTTTTTCTAGCAAATTATTATGTGTCAGAATCTATAATATCTGGTATTTAAAGCTGGCTGGGATATATCGAGTCGACATAAAATTTGAAGTAAATATTGTTAATTGATGAAACGTCTTCTGTATTAAGGAACAAACGGCGGGTGTGACAGGTCGGCAGCCAATCTCTCCTCTGATGTTTTGGAGGTCCATATTTGCTCCGCTCCGGTTTTGTTATTTGTAATGGACTTTGGAGCTCGAATACTATTCGTTATCTCCATTGAGTCAAAGTCACATAAAATGTTTTCTTCTTTTCTTTCTAGGTTTTGAATGAAACATGGGGGATAACGAAAAGTATTCAAGATCAAAAGTCCATAAAACAATACAAAAAAGGAGCAAAGAAAACATAGACCTCTGAAACACAGGAAGTGGGATCAGGTGTCATGGAGGTGTGAGCATCCCCCGCCGACCGGTCACACCCGCCGTGTGCTCCCTGTCATATCGGGAAATAACGGGAAAATCCATCGCCAATTCAGTGTATAAATAATGGACTAACAATAATGAAGAATGTCAGTCAGCATCTGACTCAACGATAAATTGTATTTGCTGACAAGGTCATTGTATCGACCCTAGAACTTACGAAATGATGATTTTAAACGAGACCGCTGATATTCTTGTTTCATCAATCTATTTGTCAACAATTTACCTTGTTTTAGAAATAGTTCATACGTAGAGCATGCTCTTACGTATCAAATCAACTAAGATACATATACTCCGTAAGTAGGTGATGATTGATTGATTGATTGTAGTATATTGTTTAACGTCCCTATAGAGAATTTTTTACTCATATGGAGACGTGAGGGGCTTCAAATTTAGACCTGTAGTCGGCACTCAGGGCCATTGAGCAGTGAGGGTTCTTTATCGTGCCAACGCCTACCGTGACACGGGACCTACGTTTCTAAGGTCAAATCCGAAAGACCCGTGACTTTCGATTCTAGTGCCGAGCGCTTGTCGAAGGCACAGTCACTACCTATGTTTACGTCTTAGGTATGACGCGGCGCCGCGAACGAGAATCGAACCAGGGCCTCCCGATCACGAAGCGAACGCTCTACCACTAGGCTACAGTGACCGGTAGCAGGTGATGAAGGTATATTGCTGAATAAGTAAGGGAAGTTGACGATAAGTTAAAGTCATCACGTTTTATCATAGAGCTTGCTTGTTACATGTAGATCACCATTAATGTTTTTTTCAAATAAAATATCCAAATATGAAACAGATGTGTCAGAGTCTGTGGTTTCTTTTATCTCAAACTCACCAGGGTATATCGTATCGACATAAGAATTGAAATTACCAGTGTTAATTGACAATACAATAAAATTGATTTTACTTCATATGAAGAAAACATGGTTCTGCTAACAGCAGGTCGAAATTAGTAACTATGAGAATTCGTCAGATTATTAGAAGACTCCAAAACAATATAGATATTGTCAATCAGAAACTTAAGTATCTTTTAAATATTAACTTCTTATTACTTCAGTGTACAATTAGTAAACAATTTTAGATAAGATGAATATTTTTATTTGATAAAGTGATATTCTCTAGGGTTATAAAATTGTTCCTTTCATCCTTTATTATAATAATATAATTCATGTAAGAAAAAAAATCAAACAAGTATTTAAAATTGGTCAAATACTCTAGAATACTGCTTTATATAAATTTGTATATATATACGAGGGTTATATCAAAGATGTAACAAATCGGTAGAAATTTTGAATCTTTCTAATAAAATGCTTTATACACGGTATCTAAATTTGAAGCAAATCGATCTCGTTTAGTAGTACTCCAATCATATTGTATTTATTACTGCTTCTCACAATATTAATACAAAGATCGTATTTGAAAAAGATCTTTAAAGTCTTTCACTCAACATTCAATTTTTATTTACAAAAATTATATATATACAATGTAACATTGTTCAAGGTAACAAAAGACAGGCAAAAATTATTATTATAATAATTATGTACCTCATTTATTGTCATTTCTTTACACATCCATACAATACAATTCAGTTTTGATTTTATATACGAGAAACTATATTTCTGATCACATAGATATATTACTTCGATGACTGAACTTGCTTCCTCGGTTTATGTATACGTTTACTTCACTTGGACGTTTTGCCACGCTTTCGTTTTCTATGCTGTTTGTTTTTCTTTTCAAATCAGCATGTGTTTCTGCATTGTTTGTTGTCATATCGGCACCCTCTTTTGCATCGCCTTAAATCGCGTTTCTTCGCAAATGGACGTAGATCACATATTTTCCTACAACTGTGAACCTCCCTTGCACACGTGTAGGAACAGGAGCATTCACTGGTGCACTCCTGGTACTCCCCGCCACAGTCTGTCAGACACTGCATCACTTTGATTTTACGAATCTGATTATTAATTTTTACCGCACGACACTCAGCCGAACATTTGTCTCTTTCAAGGAAGCATTTCTTCTCACATTTTCTATATCTCTTCTCCGGGGATGCATGCAGTCCGATGCAGCAGACACAGAGGATTAAAAGTAAACCGAAGAAAATGCCGTGAGACATGTCTAATACGGAATGTAGATTTTGTATGTTGTGGTCTGAGTAATACCGATGCAATTAAAGAAGCCTTAGAACTGATCAAATCTTACAAAAAACATGCCCTTTATACGTTCCCCCAAAAAAATTTCAATTCAATTTCTTAATTTATAATAATGATAATAGCGCAGGTCAATTTATGTTAAGTATAAGCAAGGCTAATTATAGTCAGCACTATTTTTATCAAGTTCTCGACCTTGTGGTCACCATTAATTAAATTAATGAACTGCTGAAGAGAACTACACAAAGAATTAACAATTAGCGTCTCCTTTTTATTAATATAAATGACAAAATCATTTACTCAGGGCAAATTAGTATTTTAAAAAGAATATTCAATAGGTAGACACCAGGAACTAACAATAACCAAATACAGAGCCAGTGGTTCTTATCATTTTTTTCTGGGTAAAGCATAATTATGTAGACATCAACAATTCACCAAAGTGTTTATCATTGGATAGCCAAGTTTATCTTTAAATATTTAATGAATATTCTCTCTAAAGAATTTAAAAATATCTCTGTTCTTGAATTCCTTATCATGTACTTAATTGATAACTGACCTGGAATGTTACGTATGATACGCTGTTACAGATTCCCTGTTGACCTTGAAAAAGGAAATTATCTCCATTAGTATATTAAATTATAATTACCACAAATTACATATAAATATATTTATTTATGTCATTCTAAACAGAATAATAAAAAGTTGGATTTATAGGTTTTCTTCCCTTATGCATACTAAGAGGATGCTGGTTAAATGGATCTTTATTTACCAGCCTTAAAGGAAAAGCAAAAAGACTGTCATATAAATTTAAATAATTGGAACTTACAGTATTAAATTACGTAAATATTATCTGAAAAAACACAAAGTGGATAAGAAAAAATTAATTTTAATTTATTAAATCATCATTTAATCATTAAAAGATTATTTCTTTAACAAGATTTGAATACAATAAAATTGTGATTTATCTTATTTATCCAATTTATTCTAGAATAGATTTTATATAAAAAAAATCAGTTTTACATCGTTTTTCTATCCCAAATTAAACAAAACGTCTTGTCTGTTCTTCATGATAAAATGTATTTTATTTCAGCAATTTTTAATATTTGAATATTAGTCCAGTTAAAATATGAATTCATAAAGAAAGTTTTATCGGGTGTGGTAAGAATATATTTTGATAACTAATATTGAGACTTTATCACGCGACGGATAATTGTAACTTTCATAAAAACATATCATAAAACCACGTTTAGCAAAGTGATAAACACATTTAATATGAATTAAATAACACATTCCAAGCAAAACTTATTACAGTTAATTACAGTGAATAGTTCTATATTTTGATCTAGAACTTTTCTAAGATCTGAAAGCTTTAAATCGCTTAAATTTTATATTAATAATGCAAAATCAGAAAGAAATGTGGATACAAATTTAATATTTTCCATTTCATTTGGAAAATATTTATACACGCATGACATTAAATAATCAAAACTTCATTCTGAAATGAATAGTAAAGGCACTTTGATTGAGTGTTTTAGTAAAATCTTTATTACTTTATTTAACTACAGCTAGCAGAGTAACTTAAAGTTAACTACATTACTTAGGTACTTTAATTAGGTATACAAAAATAATTTGTTTTGTTCTGCATATTAAAATTATACAGTATACTTTTGTGTGTGTGTTTTTTTTTTCATTCTGCATCTAAATCATACGGTACAAAATTTAGATATTTGATTATTTATTTTATCGTATATGTAATGTTTGAATAATGCTATTGATTTATGGAATTTGGAATTTATAGCAAATGTGTTTACATGGATTTTTATACTTGTTTATTTTTAAAAGTAATATCAAGGACAAATAAACACTAAAATAAAATGAAATGAAACGTGTCGTAAGGATGGTCCAGATATCAACATTGCAACGGCTCTACTTCCTCCCTCAATGGCCATTTCGCCCATGTTTTGTGTTTTTTTTGTTATACTAGTTGTTACAAATTGATAATGGTCGCAAAATGAAGCTGATTACACAAAACAGGTGTTGCAAAGTACAACTTTATTGTTTTATAATTAAGTTCACCGGACACTTGTTTTCATTGATAATAATTGATTTTCTTTCAACAACTGTTGAGAAGACTCATTGCGTATAATAATTTGAAAATATAATACCATTCTATTTCTGTAGTTTTGCAATAATTACATTTATTAGAGTGAACACTTGGAAGTTTTTTGTGAAGTGTACACAGCCATATACGACTTGTTTGATACTCCCATTCTTGCAAAGCAACCCGTTTCTGACATAGTCATTTAAATCGCTAGATTTAAACGCAATGGAGCAGCATTGGACAAAATGGATTGACATGATTTGCCAAAAACATTTGCATCCCCAGACTCTATAACAGCTGGCAAAAGCTCTACATTTGGATTGAGAGAGTTTTTCTTTACAGTTTTATTACAAACATTTGCTTCCATTAGATGCCGTTTTTTTGGCTATCATTTGTGTCTGTGAGGGGCATACCTGATATTGATCTTTATGACCTTAAACTGTCTATGATTTTAAAATTCTTGAGTGATTATGACATGTAGATAGAATTCCTATTGTTAACCAAATCTCTGTATCATCAATACATCATTTTACTAAAAAATCTTTATGTTCAATGTGTCACTAAAATTCTACTATTCGTTTCTCTTTTTAAGAGAATTTTATTATATTTCGAACTTCAAAAATTAATAAATGTACATTTTTGTAACGTCCATGGCTCATCATTTTATTCATTAAATTATGAACAATGTGGTTTTTTTAATATCTAAAAAGTTTTTTAAAAATACATTTTTAGTTAGATTTATTTTTCGTCGGAAATCATATTAACTTTCTTTGGATGGCCGATAAACTTTTATCTAATATCATATTTTTTTCATAAATGTAGATTTTACACAAACGACAACAAAGAAAATAATTATTAATAACAAAGATTAATAGAATATAAAATATGAGAAATTTACTGTTCTCTTGTGGAAAAGATTTCGATTATTAATAAAAATAACCAAAACATTTTCTAAAAATTGGCCATTGTCTTGCTTTGGTCAAAAAAGCAGAGGAAGACAAGATATGAAAACAAAAAACCAATTTGAAACCAATTACCATTTCAATACATATTTGATTTATATAGAATTTACATAGATACAGAAGTTTGAAAAACACGTGCACAAAATAGATTTAAGCAAGAAAAGACTTCATCCTTAAATGGCTGATGTCCATATATAGATCAGCAGTAATAGTTCCTGGTATATCTGTAATCTTGAAAGCGGTTGACATAATCCTTGTTAAGTTTTCGTCCATGTTGGTACATTGTCTATCGCCTTAAACACTTTTATATAGCCTGAACAATCAGCATTTGTTTCTGCAATTGTTGTTGTCGTAACGACAACGTCTTTGACAGCGTCTCATGTCTCTTTTCTTCTCAAAAGGTGTCAATTCACAAGTTTTTTGACAATTGATGACCTCAGCAGCACATATATAGGAACAAGAACACCCGTCTTCACAACGGTGAAGATCTGTTTGACATTCTGTGAGGCACTTAATCACTCTGAGTTTTCTTCTTAGATTTTTTATCTTAACCGTGCGACAATCGGCGGAGCAAGTATCACTGTTAATAGAACACTTCTTTTCACATTGTTTATATGCCACTTCTGGTGATGCGAGCAGTTCCAAAGAAAACACACAAAGGATCAAGACTAACACATTGGGAAAGAAGCATGTCATCTTTGTAGTTTACTTTAAACAACAAAACTTGTGAACACTCCTTGAAATGAACTTTATATACTCTTCTTTATATCACTTTCAACGAAGTGTAATTAATTGCCATTATTCTGCATCATTAAAAGGTTATCGATCAATTTCTGGTAAGAAGTCGGTTTTTTTTTTTACATTGATGCCATTTTTGTCTACGTCTTGTGGCCATCTTCTGGGGGAAATTTATCTCACGTGAATGGTATTTAACAAAAGCAAACAAAGAATGATTTTGAACGTGTAATTCACATGATATACCATTAGCTGTGTATAAATAAAAACAAAGCGCTTAAGAAACTTAATTGGCTACCGTTCAATATCCTTAACAGTAGATTTCTAATTTTATCAGCTTAGAGCAAAGGTAGGGTGACTCAAAAGAAAGACATCTCTTCAACAACAACAACAACAAAAAGGTAATTATCCCCCAACCAAATTTAAACGAACAATTAAAAAATGCAAAACGAAAAAAAGACAGGAGCTCAAGAAATACAATTCTGTAAAGAATAGAAAAATGAAAAAGAAATAATATACTTTGGTAAAATATTGAAAATATAGCAAAATGATCAAGGGAGACATGTTCCTAAAAAGGATAGTTTGCTAAATCAAAAAGAAAAGTTCTATCAAGAATGAACAAAATACCAACTTGTGGGTCTAATAATATGCAGGACCGGGGAAAAAAGTTTCACTGACCAATTCTGCTTTTCATAACCATGTACTTAGTCTATTCTTTAAGGTCATACGTAACGTACGAGGGTTGGCCAAGAAAGTCGTAGAGAATATTATAACATGTGAACATGCAACTTGCATACAAGACATAATATATTCAATGTTCCTGAAAATTGTGAATTCTTAAATAAATAATCTTTCATATTAAAAATTCAATAACGATTTATATGAAGAACCAATATGGTCTGTCGGTGCACGAACAAAATCCATAATAATTTTTGCATAAAACTGAAACATTTCCTTTTATTTCTTTGGTACTCTGTATAACATCAAACTCAGATTTAAAACAGTACTAGTAAAATCTTAGTTACATGTACAAGGTTTTTTTTTTTTTATAAAAAGGTAGCTTTTTCACTCATCATTTTTAAAGACATTCTTAATTTAAATACGATTGAATCATCCTATTTCTTTTCCAAAAAAAAAAAAAAAAAAAAAAAATAGTGAAAAGAATAAAAAAAAAATCGGCAACAGGGATCCTTGTAATGGTGCAAAAGTAAGAGTGATTCGGCTCACATTCTCAGTGAGTGGCTTTTTAATTAGCATTTTTTACCTTTTCTTCAAAATTGAAGTTACGCAAGACAGAAGTCGAATCAGATCCAATGATATACAGATCAGTCCATATATCGGTCATTATTCATGTATGTTAATATCACAGCTTGAATTTATCCGCCCAGTTTACTGACCTTGATTTGATTTTGGGACAGCAAATGAGAAATCAGGATTCACCGAGCAGATCTATTCTGGAAATTTCCTTATTTAAGCATAAATATCGCTGTTTACGAAAACATATAACATGTAATGAATTTATTTATCGCAATTAGTGATACCACACACTATCATTTATCAAAATCGAAATTTGTTATTCTAAATTCAAAGCACTTCTCATCACAAGGGAACAGTCATGTTATTGAGTTCAGTGTAAAGAAAAATTTACTTTGCCTGCAGTCGCCCATATTCAGAAATATATTTGTACCATTATGGAGATGCTGTGGAATTGATGCTCTTTCCAGAAATATCAGATTAAACAAGCAAATTAAAAGAATTGTGGTCCGTCCCCGCTTTCGGTGTCTTAGTGGTAATGTACATGTGAAATATAAAAGTCCTACCTCTTCTCATTCAAAATTTATGAAGAAGGTTAAGTTTTTGTGACAGACGGACAGACTGTCTGACGGACTGACAAACGATTGAAATTTAGTATCCCTTCGCTGGGGACAAAAAGATCGGAGAAAACAGAAAGATCGGATAACAGTTTAGGGGGTTTCAACTGCGCAATACTTTACGCATTATAGTAAAATAAATCTTATTTATCCTTTTAAGGCACATTTTTTCCATAAAATTAGTAAAATTTAACAAATGTAAAAATCACAGCTAGGTTAAAATACTTAATTACAATTTTATAAAACTGAATTTCAAAGCGAATTTTCTCAAATGATAGTTAGATTAACGGCGTAAAAGTGTGTTTGTAAAGTTAGGATTGACAGAAATTCTTTAAGAGTCATTAAAAATAAAAGCAAACGTATACAGTTTAAGATTTTGAAATTTTAAACATATATTTTTGAGAATCTCCCTATTATCTTCCTAGTTATTTGTTGCAAAAAAGCTAATTTTGACATTTTGAGATGCCCTCTCTTGAAACCAGACGTAGATTTTTGTGTTTCTTACATACTGTAAAATGTACAACATAATATTATTACATATTATATTTTGGGCAAGAACTCTGTTGTAGTTTTTGCAAAATGTATGCTTTGAAGAGGAAAAATCGGCATTTCCTGATATTATCTTATAGTAAATGTATCCATTGTGAGACGGTCACTAAAATACCTAGACAGTAGATTTTCCCTAAACTTGGCTAATATGCTTAAACCGATCTAAGTTACATATGGTATAAAATTAAAGAATGTTTCTATTGTAGACCCCAAACAATAAAACCCCAGTCGGTTTTCTTAAGAACAGGCATCAGGTGTTATGAAAGAATAGACATGCGCATCCCTTTGAAAAAAAAAACAAAAAAAAAAAAAAACATTTACATCCTTACAATGTTGTTGCCAAAAAGAAAATATACAAATTTATAGTAGATGAGTTTAAAAATTTTTTCATCACTCTGATCAAGAAAGGGAACTAAAAGATATATTTTATCAAATTTTATTTACGGTTATACAATATACATGCAGTGCATTGAACAAATTACAGAAAATTTGATAAGTAAACATACTAAACAATCACTTTATCATTAAGATTGTGTATTTAATTTAAATTCACACTAGTTTAAGCAAAAATTTGAATAATTAATTTTTCTAATCAAAAGTAGCATTACAGCCTATTGTATGTTTATAGGAAATGATTGCAATCTTCCATGAAAATGGTTAATTTCCTTATAAAGAGTTACAGAACCTTTATGTCTAGTCCGGCGTCAAAGTACATGTATATGTTCAATATACCTTTCGAGTAAATCACTTAGTGAGACCTATTTGTCTTTGACAAAGTAAATGAAATGAATAATGAGAATAATACGATACATTTGTGTAGCATGAATGATTACTCTTAAGCGGTCTGTTGCTATTTTTGAAAATTAAAGTCAATATTTGAAAGAAGATATAATTTTCCATCTCTGTAACATGTAAAATAGTCGTCCGCGCGGTAAAGAGTTGATCCTTACATCGCGGTTGCAAATCCCACTGCGGGACGGCGGGACCAGATCCTCCGGTTGAGACCATAAAAGAGAAGCCGTTGCGGTAGGTATTGTCACAAAAATGAACCCCCCCCCCACTACTCAGTGGGCCTCCGGTTTCCAAATTCGATAAAAAACATTTTTTCTATTCAAAACCATTCAAATCACTTTTTTCCAGAAATGAAATTTGACAATTGCAATATTGTCATGTCTTTACAACATCGATGCGTCATGCAATAAACGAAAGAAAAATCAATCAGTATATACAGAGTCAATGTTAAAGAGTAACATATTGTAAGCATATATAAAGAAATCATCATTTTGATTCATAGCAGATAAACTCAATATTATCTTGATAATATGAACAAGGAATGTTACAAACAAAATATTATATGAGAAAACCGGAGAATGTGGTTATAGAACCACTACTGTAATAACCTTGACCAGAGCTGTATCGAACCCAAACTGCGTCTCCTTTCTTAATATTCAGTACCACCATATTGGGACCTGCATCATTATAATTATTATGGGCCATGGTCTTAACTTTTGTTGCTCCATTCAACACAATAGCCGCATAAATAGTTTTTCTGTAATAACTCTGAACATTCACGAAGAAGACGTACGTTCCATCGACAGGAGCAGTAAATATTCCATTGCTAGGGTTGTATCCATTTCCTTCATTTGTGATGACAGTAGAAAAAACCAGTGTTCCTCGGTTCCATGAAGAGTTAGGGGAAGTCACCGAGGCGGAGAAGCCTACATTCTTTGGCTTGCCTTCAAGTACATAATTATATACATTATTAATGTTTTGTTAAGTACATGTATCTGCTGAACGGTGTTCGAAAGTATTGTATTTTTCTAGGAATGTCCGATTAAACAAATATCTGTTCTTTAAAGTTTGTAGATCATTTATTCTAGTTAAGTTTATAAGTTGATATTGATCAAAACTTGATGAATGAAATCTAAAGCCTTAAATTCAACAATATACTTTAACACAATAAAAGAAAAGAAAATTGTCACTTCTCAAAATATAGACTATAATTCAAAGAAATAACTGAAGCATATTTTCATCACGTTATGAAAGGGTAATAAATTAATGAAATTCTAAAGTTTATAAGAAAATCGCAAAATGCAAACAGGAATACAAGGACCTAAAAAAATTAGAGGTGATATCATATTTCACGGAGGACCAAGCTTACCGTGTAAAACTGGCAAACCGGTTGTAGGCACTTTAGTGTGAAATTCTTAGTAAAAATCTTTGTATGAAGAAGTCAACCAGCATTCGATTTGATGAGAGATTGCATTGTATTTTCTAAGGTCATAATTTGAATCATAGATTTTTCACAACATTGTCTATAAACAAGGCTGTTACACCTGATCCCACCTCTGAAGTTTTGAGGGTCCGTGTTTGCTTTGCTCCTATTTTGTACATGTATTGGTTAATGGACTTCTGAGCTTGAATAATGTTCGTTATCTTCATAACTCCATATACTATTAGTTACACAGTCAGTTAATGAACTAATACGGAATCATACAGGGTGTGAAATGGAAATCCGTATTGAGCAAGGCGAAGCCGAGTCCCAATACGGATTTCCATTTCACACCCTGTATGATTCCGTATTAGGTCACTAACTGACTGTGTTACGAATTTATCCCTCTGAAGACCTAACGTTAATTCTAAAATATGAAAAAAAAATCTATGTGCATATTATGAAAATATCATGTTTTAATCCAATAACAATCAGCATAAAATATCGTAACAAGAAATTTAAGTAATCAAACTATCTACGCAAACCGTTTCTTAGCCGCCATTTTTATTTACAATAACAACGCTTGAAACGGAATCGTGTGCCCGATTTTCATATTGACACAGATGTGTTAGACTATGTTGTATCTTTTATCTCACCTGGAAAATTTCAGGGCGTCACGTGATTAGCTTTTATCCAATCAGTAATCGACAAATTTGTCTGAAGCGGGATAAAAGCTATAATGGTATGTAACTACTGAAATAAAAAATGTCAAAGAAAGGATTGATAAAAAGATTGATAAAATATCGCGATATAGAACCGAGCAAGTGATTTGATGATTAATTGTTTTTTTCCTGACAAGGTTATTGTATCGACCACAGAACACACGAAATGATGATTTAAACTGAGACAGCTGATATTCTTATTTCATCAACTTAGATGTCATTAATCTATCTCGTTTTAGAAACTGCACGTACGCAGAGCATGCTCTTGCGTATCGAATCAACTGAGAGATATAAACGGCGTATGCAGGTGATGAAAGTATACTGCTGCATAAGTAGGGGAAGTTCACATTTGAAAAATTAAAGCCATCGCGTTTATCATAGACCTTGTTTGTTAGATTGCTTATACACCATTTTTCAAGTAAAATATCCAAATGTGAAACAGATGTGTTAGACTATGTTGTATCTTTTATCTCACCTGGATATATTATCGTATCGACATGGGAATGGAAATAACAATTGTTTATGGACAATATGTCGTTCATAGAACTTCATAATCTAATTGTCGATTTGAAAACCTCTGGAAGTGTTTTCTACTTTTCACGTATAATATTATAGACGAATTCTGCATCATATGAATACAAAAATAGGTCTGCTAATAACGGCGCACAATAAGAACCCATTGAAAAAAAAATTATTGTTTGAAGACCTGGTCTCCAAAAACCTCATAGATATTCTCAATCAGAAGCTCAAGAATATTTTTGTTGTCAATTTCATAGTACTTGAGGTGAATACAATAAGAATGTTTTTAACAAAATAATTTTGCAAATGAACAACGACAAGATAAGTAATTTTACTAATTCCATTTTCATTTAAAAAGCAGCCATTAATGCCATCAAAAAGCTTGGACTTTAATTAATATATATCGTTGGGAATGGTTGTGTATAGAGTTGAAAAGTCGTATACGTTTTTTAAGCTGTTGGAATTTTTAAAAGTATCCACATCTGATTAACACCACTTCTCAAATATATTGTTGCACAGTACTCTTGAAGTTTTCCTTCGCTTTTGTTAATATCTTAGTAAGGAGGATAGAAAGTCAAAGAGGCCTGGTTGAACATTTTCTGGAACCCGCTATGTATCTTTGTTTGTAAAGATTTTAAATTTTCGAAATCCAATATAGATATGATAATTCAAATTCATTTTGGTTGTTTGGGATATCATAAATATTCAAGAATGACATATTTTTTTGAAAAAATTCTCGTATATAATTAGATTGTATTTTTACTTTTTATAGTTTTTTTAACAAGGTAATCAAATGTTTTACCATATATGTTATTGGTCAAATTCATTCGGAACACCTCGAGAGAGGACACTGTAGAGGACAGCTGCAGTTGCTTATACTGAGTTTGTTTCACTTCCAAACCAAGGTCCTCCAATGTTTTGTTAATGTTCACTGCAAAGAAATAAATGAATAAAAAGATTCCAATAAAACTCTCACTATTTCAAATTTCTATAAAGTTGGGCAATGCAAAGTATGTATAAATAATTTTGATCATTCATGTATCAAACGTATATAAATGAGAATTGAGACATAAAATATTTTTTTTCAAATTTGTTTCATATTCTTCAATTGAGTAAAAACATTCTCGAGATGGAAATTGAACAACATATAAATCACAAGCAAAGAAAATATTTTCCCCTCATTTTCTTCACAGGACATTGCATAACTTCCAATTTATGGATACTCGGTTAATACTCATTCACAATCATATACAAGCATTGAAATAAGAATTGCATATATTTATTTTTGTAGAACTATAGTATTATCATTAAGTTTTATACTTTTTCTTGAAACTGGTATAAAGCTTTTATTTAAGATGTAACATATTAATTGAAAAAGGAATTCAAATTAAGTTTCAAGAAAGGCAAAAAAGATGTGTTTACAAAATTAATGATTTTATTTTGGACAAAGAACATTATTAAAGTCGAACGGTATCAATTTCAAATAATAAAAAAGCAGGATATGAACCAAATGTTTTCTCGAAATAGACATTTAGCGGACATATAGGGACAGCGAAAGCAATCCTTATTCACAAAAGGAAATTTTTTATCTTAAAATATGAAGATTTTATAGGTATGGGACATGTCCTCAGTAATCATTTTACATTGTAATAACAATATAAAAAAGATTTGATTGTGAAACACTGATCCCTGAGTATGACAGCTTATGCGAAGGTAGAAGATTTTCAAATGCATGTCAAACTCAAAAGGTCAAGGTCAAAATTGTTGATACCTAAAAGTAGGTCTTGTCACAAGAAATACACTACTGAAATACGAAAATCTTAGTTCTAACTGCTCAAAAACTATTGAAAAGATTAAAGTTCATTTAAATGCAAATGAAACCCTGGGGTCAAAGTGAAAATGTTAAAAATATGTATACCCACTGAAAGGTTTTGTCACATTGAATATACATGTATACATTGTATATGCAGTTTGAAAGCCCGGACATGAACTGTTCATAAGTTATGACCTAAGTTATAAGTTAAAACAGGCTTCATCTCTAATAGATATATAGGAGAAAACACCAGGTTAATTTATGACATAATGCATTACACTGAGGAAGAAAATATACCTGGATTATTACTACTTATTGACTTTGAAAAAGCCTTTGATACACTTTCATGGAACTTTATACAAGGCGCACTTAACTTTTTTAACTTTGGACCCTCAATCAAGAAGTGGGTATCCCTTTTTAATACAGATATTACATCTGCAATAAACCAAGGTGGTAACCTTTCTGATAGAATTAACATTCAGAGGGGTTGTAGGCAAGGCGATCCTTTGTCACCATATATATTCATTATATGTGCAGAAATTTTAGCAATCCAAATTAGATTAAATAAAAATATTAAAGGTATTTCTATAAACAATACTGAAAAAAAGATTTCTCAGTTAGCGGATGATACATCAATTATTCTTGATGGTAGTAAAACGTCACTCACAGAAACACTGCAAACACTTAAGACATTTTCAGAAATGTCGGGATTACATATTAATTATTCCAAAACTCACATAGTGTGGATAGGCTCAAAAAAGTTTAGTGACGAAATTTTGCTTCCAAATTACAAACTTAACTGGGGAACTACCAGATTTACTCTTCTTGGAATACATTTTGATGTAGAATTGGATAAAATACTACCATTAAATTATGAACCAAAACTGGTACATATTAAATCAATACTTAAACAATGGGAGAAAAGGTATTTAACTCCCATAGGGAAAATTACTGTTATTAAAACATTAGTTCTACCATTACTAAATCATATTTTAATGTCCATCCCAAATCCTTCTGAATCATTCTGTAAGGAATTGGAAAAAATGTTTTTTTCATTTATATGGAATAATTCAACCCATAGGGTTAAGAAAGAAGTAATTGTAAAAAAATATGAAGAGGGGGGTTTAAAAATGGTAAATCTGACATCTTTTATAGCCTCCATGAAATTATTTTGGATAAGGCATCTAATTTTTACAAATAGAGGGTTGGAAAACCTCATTCCTAAATTTAATTTGAACAAATTTATTAGTTGTGGAATTGAATATACTTCAACTTTTTTAAAAACATTAAAAAATAAATTTTGGATAGATGTTTTTAAGTCCTGGATAATGTTACAAAATCTTGAGAAAAAGTTTGATGTTGCTGGTGACTCACCACTATTTTACAATCCAAATTTGCATATTGGCGGAAAACCATTTTATAATAAAAATATGTTTGAGAGCAACATTAGACAAATTAATGATATCAGTAATGAAGATGGTTCACTATTTTCTTATGAGCAGTTGTGTAACACCTATCCAAATATAAAGATTAATTTCTTAGAATTCAGGAGTATTATTCATGCTATAAAGGATTGGATGAAAAACTCCGGTCAGGAAAAAACAATAAAAAAGCTCACAAATCCCATGATTATGTCTAATATCTACACAGTAACAAAATGTAGAAAATCTAAATGCTATTATGAAATCCTTATTCAAAATTCTTCTGTCACAGCAGGTAGAACTTATTGGAGTGAGCTTTTAGAAGTTGGAACTCAGGAATGGAAAAAAATTCACATGATACCCTTTAGGGTAACAAAAGATTGTAAACTACAATGGTTCCAATATAGGATTTTAAACAAAATCCTAGCAACAAATTCATTTTTATTCAAAATAAGAAAAAATGACTGTAAATTATGCAGTTTTTGTCATACTGAGGATGAAACAATAGAACACCTTTTATGGGAATGTGATAATACACAATTTTTTCTTGAAGAATTTGTACATTTGTTAGAAGAAAAAACTGGTTTAATGATAAATGTTACTAAGAAATCTTTTATTTTAGGATTTATTGAGGAAAATACTGATATTCAAAATGTCATTCTACTTTGGCTAAAATACTATATTTATACTGCCAGGTGCACAAAGAAACATATTAACTTACAAAATGCAATATCACAAATGAAATTTCATTATGAAACACAGAAAATTATCTCTTATAAGAATGGTAAAAAGGAAAAGTTTGATACCCAGTGGAACAGGTGGAATCTTCTATTCTCTTAACTTGAATCTTTACACACTCTCTTTCTCTTCTCTCTCTCTCTGCTCTCCCCTCTATCTTTCTCTCTATCATTTCTATCTCTCTTAAAATAAAAAAAAACACATCAAAAAAAAAAAAAAAAAAAAAAAAAGTTATGACCAAGGCTAAAGAGTGATAATTTTTTTGGTTATACCTCTACTGTTATTACTTTATATAAATTTGCCTATTTCCCCGAAAAAAAAACTTTTTCCCTCATCTGAGAACTACCCCCTGATAAAATCAGAGCTGATCCCTGGGACTATTGCCTCATGAATATTTATTAGTAATTTTAATCAAAGTGTTCAGTGGGCGGAGCGCTCAAGGAATCTCGAATCTGTAACGTAATGTTATAAACAATGTAACTATGATGTCATTACAATTCCATATGAGATGTCAAAACCATACATGAATTCTATTAAAATGAAGACAGCGATAATTTTTTTGAAATGTCAGTGAAAATACTTTTTAAAAATAATTTAAATGTTCTCAGACACGATGCATTAGTTATTATGCAATCTTGTAAACATAATAATAATAATAATATAATATATGAATTTATAAAGCGCTAAATATTAATAATATAACTCTAAAGCGCTGTACAATAAAACGCAAGTAAACATAATTTAAAAGCTATGAAAACTTATATAAAATATTAACCCATACTCATATATGTGTTCGAAATTATAACATTAAAATACTACAAATTACATATAAAATACAATTACACCATCAATAAAACTCAATAAAAGAACATCATTTGTAATTTATGATTTGCTGCTAAAAATTGAGCACCTAAAACTTAAAAAGCTATCCTATAAGAATGCGTCTTTAATTGTCTTTTGAAAATATCCAGGGACTGGGCCTGCTTTATATCGTTAGGAAGGTCGTTCCACAAAAATGCTGCTGCCCAACCAAGTCGACGTTCACCATATGTCTTCGTCCTGATCTTAGGAACAACTAACCGTGATGTTGACTCAGATCGCAGTGATCTGGTAGGCTTGTATTCCATTATAAGATCTTTGATATAAGATGGAGCTAACCCGTGTAAGGATTGGTAGACATATGTCATGATTTTATATTGTGGACGAAAAGAAACGGGTAGCCAATGGAGATTAGCTAGGTTAGGTGTAATATGCTCCCGTTTCGATGATCTTGTAACTAAACGATCTGCCGTGTTCTGGACTTTTTGAATCCGGTCTAGTAAGGCCTTTGACACTCCATATAGAAGGCAGTTCCCATAGTCCAGCCTGGCAGTGATAACGGCATTCACCATGGTCTTGCGGGCTTCTTTTGTAAGAAAGCGCCGTATTCGTCCAATATTGCTTATTTGAAAATAGCATGACTTGACGACCGAGGATACCTGTTTTTCCATAGTAAGGTGTTGATCGAAAAATGCACCTAGATTTTTTACACATGGCACGCTTTCAATGATATTATCACCAACTTTTAGTTGTAATGTTGGCAGATACTTCTGGTGTTGCTTTGTGGAGAAGATTATTAGCTCGGTCTTTTCTTGGTTTAGTTTGAGTAGGTTTGATGTCATCCATGAACCAATTTCACTAAGACACGCTTCAAGTCGAGAGAAGTAATTGTTCCAATTTTCCAGTGGTCTTATGATCATGTAGATTTGTGTATCATCTGCATAGCAGTGATATATCATTCCATGGCGGTGGCATATGATTCCAATGGGTTTGGAGAAGAGGCAATACAATTTCGGTCCGAGTACAGATCCTTGGGGGACACCAAAAGGCAGCTGTCTAGACTCTGATCGGACGGATCCAATTGTGACACATTGTTTTCTGTTCTTGAGGTAAGACTTGATCCACTCAAGAGGTCTATCACGGAAACCATAAGACACAGTTAGGCGTTGGAACAATATATTATGGTCAATAACATCAAAAGCAGCGGATAAATCCAAAAGGACAAGGACTGCTGAAGATTGTTGGTCTAGGGCTGTCACAATATCGTTGTGGACCTTGATGAGGGCCGTTTCCGTGGAGTGCCTGGGACGATATGCCGACTGAAGTGGATCGCGAAGAGAATTCGCATCCAAATGGGCATCAATCCTACGAGCCACAACTTTCTCCAATATTTTTGAGATAAAACTCAAGTTCGATACGGGCCGATAGTTTTTCAACACTTCCTTATCTAGTCCAGGTTTCTTAAGAAGTGGACGAACTATGGCCTCCTTCCAAGCAGACGGAAAAATTCCCTGATCGAGAGATGCATTAACAATTTCTGTGACAAGCGGTATTACCGGATCCAGGCACTTTTTCAGTAGCTTTGTTGGAATTGGATCCAGTTCGCATGATTTACTGGGTGCCTTCATTATTAGTGAACGTACTTCATCTTCAGTGGTACGTTCAAAAGCAGCTAATAGAGGCCCTTGATAGTATACGTCTGTGCCTAAATAGCTGTCTTCTTTTTCTGTTTTTTGTTTAAGTGTCTCTCTGATGGATGTTACTTTGTCTATGAAAAACGTTGAAAATTTATTTGCAAGATCTTCATCTGATGGTGATGTTGGTAGGGGACTCTCCTGATTCTTACCCATCAATAAATTCGTCACCCTAAAGAAGTTTTTCAGATCATATCTAAATTCCTGAATTTTAGTAGAATAGAATTCTTCTTTTGCCTTGTGTAGTAATTGGCCTGTTTGCTTACATTCCGCTTTAAAAAGCTGGTGGTGTATTTCCAGTTTAGATCTACGCCAACGTCTTTCCGTTTTCCGCTTCTGTTGTTTCGCTGTCCTGAGCTCGTCTGTGTACCACTCTGTGTTAGCTCTTATAAGAATTGACTTGCTAACAAGAGGCGCATGAGTGTTTAGAATATGCGAGAGGCATTTGTTGTACCCTTGTACTAAATGGTCAACAGACGTGTTCTCATTTCGTGCGGATTCATCTTGTAGTTGATTTTTAATATCTCTACTCATGTCATATATGTTGATATTCTTGAGCCTTCTAAACGTAATCTCTTTACGTTGATGTTGTGGCTTTCTGCAGTTGAACGTTGCATGTATAGCATAGTGGTCACAGCACAAGTTTCCTTTCACATCACTCAATGAAGGATTTTTGACTTGAGGACGTGAATATAGTATTTCACTAGATGATCGTGTGATAGGCAAGTCTAGGATATGTCCGTGAACATGGGTCGGCTCGTCCACGTGTTGTATAAGGTTGCAATCATCAAGGGATTGTAACAACCTGCTTGCCTCAGGATCACTACGATTGTAGACGTGAAAATTGAAATCACCAGTGATTACTAGGTCTTGGGGAAATGTAGTATTCTGATCAAGATAGGTGTCCCATTCTGAGAAGAACTGACTGGTAGTTAAACCATTCACAGTAGAAGGTGGCGTTCTGTAAATGATACATAGATTCATTCTCATGTCTTCTATTCGGACTGTAACTTCTAGATGTTCGAATTGAGTGAAAATATCCGAGCTTGTGTTCAGAACGGTCACATCAATTCCCTTCTTAAAGACAAGAGCTATTCCACCACCACGGCGTCCACTGTTGCGATCTTCACGAATGATTTCGTAGCATGATGGTTTCAGTTCATTCACAACAGCTTCATCAACAGAGGAACCTAACCAAGTTTCAGTCAATGCGACTAAGTCAAGGTCCTCTGTAAGTATATAGTCACATATTGATAGTGATTTGTTTTTAACTGATCTGCAGTTAAGAGAAGACAATGAAAACAGCTTTGAACTTGGTCTTATGTTTTTCAATTTCACTTTCATGAGTGTTTGAATTCTGTTTTCCGTACCAACTTTTCTTGGTTTACCATACGTAATGCGAGTGTTTATCTTACACACCGCATCCGTACCGTAGGAAGTGTTTAGGTCAAAGATCTTTGGTCTTGACAAATTTGAATCATTACGACTGTTCGGCTAATCATTTCTCTTTACTCGATTTTGAATCAATGTTGGGATTGGGAGAGCTTCGCATGGTTCATCAGAAACTTTCAAGGAAGATGAAGGATTCCTTAGTATATCATCGAAGATATACACCAGGTTATCTCCATTAACCCCCAGTTGATGTCCTTCGTATCTCAACCGCCCACCACAGACAGTGTGGATATGCCTGATGACCCTGCGTCCAGCCTTCGTCCCCCTTCTGAAACGAAAAGTATCCGTACGACCTGGTACACCAGCAACACATGGTCTTACAAAACACATCGTACGACAACTATATTTCTAAGTTGAGTACGAAAATATGTGGAACGACTTAAGACACAATGGAAACACAAGAATAAGATAACTCGTACCAGTAGAGCCAGAATAAAGTCACACAGAACATATATATCTAAAATGAGTACGAAAGTATATGGAACGACTTAAAACACAACAGGAACACAAGAACAAGATAGCTCGTACCAATAGAATTGCGATAAAGTCACGGTTCAATGAACCTAATAACCAAACATTATTTTAAAAAATTACTAAAAAAGCAAGGTTTTTGAGAAAAATGGAAATCTGCTCTTGATTAAAAAGGCTATTACAAAAATGCACAACAAATCTTAAAACTGGAACTACAGCAATAAAGGAGAAAACAAGCTTAATAGTCAGAGGTGGAGCTGCCATGTCATAGCGCTAACACACTCATTACATGAGTGATTATGCCTTTGTAGTGTTTTTTAAATCTCGGATTATCTGGTAAAAAAATGAAAAATATTTCGCCTGTGATTGTTTCGGTATAATAAAACAGTTATGGAATAGTAACTCGGGAAATAGCAAATTTATGGTTCCCCTCGGCAGGACACTATTTCTCTCGTCGGCTTCGCTGCCTCGGGAAATAGTTTCTTCTCTCGGGGAACAATAATTTTGCCATTTCCCTCGTACCCATTCCATAACTGTATAGTAAAATTTGGTCAAACTCCAAGTAATTAGATGTATTGTCACCAGAAATACACAATAGATATGTTAAAGCCACGGTCGCACCCGCTCATTAGATATGAAAAAGGTTAAAGATATTTTACGGACAAATAGCAAACAATTACACGACAGACAAGTAAAAATTATATACCCTTGAATCTTCGATTATGGAGGCATAAAATGTATCACGATTGAAACTTACAGAAGGGGGACATATGATTAGAGACCATTTTTATATAAATAATTTCAGATCTATTCTTTTTTAATTCAGTGTTCTCTGTTGTTATGAAAACATTACTTTTTAAAAGAGGAATATCCTTATCACATATACCCAGGGAGTATCTCACAAAAAAAAAGCATTTAAAGAAGGCATCGAAATTTTTTTTATTTTTGTCAAGGTCCCATTAGACAACATTTCTTCCTTTAATATTAAACATAGAAAAAGAAGACTGTTACTTACTTGTGATAGAATTTTCAATGCTACTTTGTGAATCTTTTAGGTCGGACACGGATTTAACCATCGTGTTATTTGCTGCCATTATATCATTGGTCAGGTCCTCGACAGAAGTGTTCAGTGTTAACGATAACTGTTCATATTTTTCTTGAATGTTATCAGAAATACGTTTGTCAATTTCTAAATAGTGTTTATTCAAGTCCAGAAGAGTCACTGACAGGTATCGAACTTCGATTTTGAGATCCGTCAGTACTGCACTAGTGTTTGTCTCAAAATCTTCTCTTTTCTCCTCCAGATGTTCCACAACTTGTCGAATATATTCGTCTACTTTGGTGAAGTTTTCCATTGTAGCATTGAATGTTTCTTCATACAGTTTGTTTTCTAGTGCAAGTCTTTGGTTTTCTCTTTTCAGTTCCTCAACCTCCTTTTTTAAGGCAGCAACTTCTACGTCTGTTTTCTGCTGGGATGTTTCCAACGTCTCCATACTTTTCTTCAGATCGAGCATGTCTTTCGATAAAGTATGAACGTTCTTCACCAGTGACATCCTAATGATTGTTTCTTGGTTCAGTAACTGTCGGAAGACGGCCGTATTTTTGGAGTCCGGATCGCTGATGTCCAGTAGTGAGGAACTATTTTTGATTTCATCCGTGAGTTCGGAATATCCATGTGTTTGTATGAGACAACATAACAATGTAAAGACCAATGTTTCCAACATCTTGAAAGTCAGAATACGTAATGCTATTGAAAGATTTGAGTCATTTAAATACTGTTTATAAACTTTACCCTGTTCTGATGCATGACATGCGCAGAATAAAAGTTCGTCGGAGGAAAACAGATAATATTCAGTGTGTTCTTTGTTTAGGGTAAATTATCAATCTGAATAAATGGTAGGTTCTTAGAACATGATCGTCATTTTCTCTGATCCATATACAAAATATATTCAAAGTACTTCAAATAAAATGCTAGTATTAGACCTACAACTTCAAATGTAAATCATATTCGGCACTACATCTGATGCGCATTTTGACAAATTATGTCTTTTCAGTAGTGTTTATGCCAAATTGTTGTATATTAGAGATATCAAATAAAAAAATTGAAAGCAAGATGTGTTTGTAAAACACTGATGCTCCCGTATGAGAACATAGTGAGGGTTAAATTTTCTCAAATGCATATCAAACATATTGATACCCAACGTAAGGCCTTCTCACAAGAAATATAAACATGAAATATAAAACCTTAGCACATTCTCTTCAAAAGTTATGGTCAAGGTGAACGTTTTTAAAGGTATGTCAAAAACTCCGGGGTCAAAATCAAAGGCTCAAGGATGTTGCTATCAAAAAAAGACCTTGTCGTAAAGATTACATATTGTTTTTAATTAAATAATTCATTCCATATTCACCCCTTTATCATGTGGATAAGATTCATGGGATATTTTTCATATCCCACACTTAAGTGCAGTTGTGACGTCACATGGTTTTTGCGTTAGTGTGATGAAGTTAAATAAAGCAATAAGTTAACACGCAACAAGTTGGATAAATCATATCCAACTAAAAATCATGAGAGATCCTGTATCTATGATGTAAGCCAATAAGTAAATTAAACATGAAGTGAAAAAATCAAAGACTTAAGTTTTACATCATTAAGATTAACTCTGTTTCTGATAACAAGATTTACGATTTTTATGTTAGGAAGGTGGTCAAATTATTTTTTCCTGGCAGATGCTTTGTAAATTAGATCTGAATCTCTTTTCGAACGGGTACATAGTGAAAACAAAAATAAAGGTATTTTTAATTTGGCCAAAAAGAGTTTGTTGCACATTTTTGAAATAAAATATAAAGACATATGTAAAGTCGTGTTATACTGTTATATCATTTAAATTATCTGTAATAAGTCTTAATTATTTCATTTAGAGCCCCGTGTTAGATTATGTTTATTTATTGTACAGATACCCGTTGTTCCTTGTGAGCAGCCGCTGAGTAATTATATAACTGACCTCGTTAAGAGCGTTGCTCTTCGTGAGCAACCTACTTTATATATATATAGGGGACTGAAAGTTTCTGGGTAGATGCACAGAAGTAGATACAGGGGTACATTCAAAGATAGAGGCAGAGGTACATGTAGAAAGTATTATTTGGTCAGTCAGTGCTGTTTGAGGATATTTTACTTTGTGAATTGTGTTGGATTATTAAAACTTGATAATATGTAAATAAATTTTAAAGGAATAACCAGATGTTTTCACTTAAGCATCACTTTATTGAGGAAGCAAGGATTAATTATTAACTTAACTCCACTGGATTAAAATACCTGATATTGTGTGCCATTACCGCCCGTCGGTGCTACACAAAATTCATTTGAAACCTAGCCTTAATTATGGAATATGAGAATCTGACTTGAGATAAACCTGTCATCTGTTCTTTGTTAAATAAATTGTTAATGCTATGCTTTAATTGTCATTAAGCACCATAAGATTAGTTTCATATGCTTCATGCCTGTTTTTCGTCTGGTGTTTGTTATATAAAGTCCCTAAGTCTCATCTCTAAATGACAACCTAATTCCAAAGAGTCGAAAGAATTTATACTTTAAAAATGCTTTTCCCCTGCATTATAATGATTTTTAAGATTAACCAATCTATTGATTTAGTGTCATTGTATACTTGCATATAGTGTTAACCTTCGTCTCAAAAGACCGATTTTAAATCGAATTTTCTGTATGTCTCAAATAAAAATTAAAGTTTCAAAAAGTAACCATTCGCTTTTTAGGGGAGGTTTCGGAATATAAAACGAAGCCAACTCCACCCTAGGCTTCCTAAGAAGGAACTTACAACACTGTCCAAGGGAATGTAGAAAGATTGCATATATAGCACTAATAAGATCCATAATAGAGTATGGAGCTGTCATCTGGGATCCATACACCAAACAAGAATCAACAAAATTAGAATCCGTCCAAAGAAGAGGTGTGAGATTCATAACAAAAGATTATAAATCAAGGGAAGAGGGCACAATGACAAAGATGACAAAGATGCTCAAAGATGACAAAAATGCTCAAAGATCTTGACCTTCCTTTACTACAAACCAGACGCCAACAACAACGTCTAATCTTTTTTTACAAAGTGGTTGAGGGGCAGATACCAGCTATTAAATCAGACCAATATATTACATTCCAAAAACCGAAAAGAAACATCAGACCGAAAGTGTACGAGGACTATCAAGCGACAAGTATTATATTTAATAGGATCAGGAATAACAGCCGTGCAGTTGAGATACTTGATACAAAGACAGACCAACTGAAGAACTCATTCTTTGTACGAACAGCTGTAGATTGGAACCATCTGGAAGAAAAAGTGGTCCGCGCCCCCAAGCTTGAAAGCTTTAAGTCAGCGCTGGAACATCTTCGCGACTAATGCGCTCTCTACCCGTCACGTCAAAGCCCAATGGGTCACTGTGACGTAACAAAACAGATACAGAAGCTTGATTTGAAAAAAAAAAACTCTCATGTTAAAAGCGTTTCGCATTGATGAGTTCAAAGTTTGTTCTATAGATCTATATTTATGAATAATTTTTCAAAGATATTTAGGAAAAAAATTCATATACATATGTAATAGATATAAATTACTTTCAGGTTTGTTGCATACTCGTTCACCTTTTTAGAAATATATCTTATCTGTGTTGATCCAATTTTTAACGAATAAAGTCAAGTGTTATTCCAGCCTTTCTCATTTTACAGGTAAATGTCTTGGTTTTTCCCCAAATTACGTGTGGGAATGTTTAATTTCGAACAAGATGGGTAAACAATGTGGACTGCTATAATAAATATTTTAACAGTGTCAGTTGAGCTGATAAAAATTTATGATAAACATAAAACAGCGAAAGTTATTTAATGGTTAGAAATTGTAGCTTGAAACGTCAATGTTTACATTTCCAAGGTCTTTGTCCGAGATAAATTATGAATAGTAAAAATACTTTATTTGTACATAAATTTATTGGTTCATCGATAGGCGCGCTTAAAAGAAATCACATGTAGGGTGGGGCAAAGCAGTGTTTGTTGCATATGAATTTGCGGAATCAAGAGCATGTAAATAAAAGGAATAAATATCAGATATTTTGATTTCATGACGATGATCAATCGATTGGCTTACGTGATAATTTTGTGTTTATGAAAATTAACAAACAAGCTACTCAGCTGATCAGACCATGAAACCAAATAATTAGACAGTTATTACTTAAATTCATGATTAAAATCTAAAATAATTGATATGTTCTTGTATACAAGCTCTGACACTTTTAAACATCATGACTTTTGACGTCAATAATTTTGTATTTTATTTCAAATTCCCTCTGGAATAAACAACTTTACGGAACGACTTGAATCTTGACTTCAAATCTTAATGAACAGTTAATTTCAAAATACAATTAAAAAAGATTCTAACGTGCTATCGACAGCATCCTCTGATTGTTAGGGTTCAAATTATCACTGACACGAACGACGCTATGTAATTTGAACACCTCTCTGTGAATCATTACTGTACTAACTGCACTACTGTACATCTGGACACATTCTGTCTGTCTGTCTCTCTTTCTCTTTCTTTCTGACAGTTCCACCAGCATTTTGAGGATCGAGAACTATTTAAGTTCAATTGTTAATACAAACAATACAAATCAGGGTAAGATCAAATGCCACTTGTCCCGACCTCTACTGTCTTAGAAGTTAGTGCTTGTCCTGTACGTATAAGTATTGCTTAAAATTCAGCTTAAGCACTTTTTCTCTTTTTATTTCATCGGGAATATAAAAATATGAATACAGACAATTGATTTGAAGAATATCCTCCTTAGTATATTATATTGAATTATCATTTGCATTAATAAATAAATTTATGATCTTCCATTATTTGTAATTGGATAGGATTTTTTCAATGAGTTGTGTTTTTTTTTTTATCCCTGAGCCTTGGCGAGGGGATGAAAACACACAAGTTGGATAAAAGTCATATGCAACTACAAATCATGAGAGGTTTTTTTTTATCCCTTGTTCAATGCTTCTAAATCAATGTTTTACATAATTTTTATATAACACACCACTTTATTTGGTTATACCTTTAAAGATTTGTTTCTAACACATATATCCATTGTAGGAACAATGCCCTGAAAATTTGTGATAGTTTTGTCATACCTTTTATTTTTGTATGGATACGATGTATTCGAGTGAAATGAATGAATTTTTAATGCAATTGTAAACTTTACAGCTATTCTACAAGTCTCACAGACAAAAAAACCTGATTTTGCAAAATTTCCCCCAAAATTTTGATCTCAATTTTCATTTGTTGAATTTCGATGCAATTCCTTCAGGTACAAAGGGGTTATCAAAAGCGGGGGTTCTGTAAATTTTGAATCTGGCTTTACATAAAAATGACCTGTTAAAATTGCTGCATCTGAATGGTGCGTGGCACAACTTTACAGGAAAATGGGCTCTCTGGAAAATGTTGTGATACCGCAATCTACAATTGCAAGAGGTTTTAATGTCACACACAGACCATATCTAACCTATAAAACATACACCATTAACATCGAACAACCAAAGTTCGCAAAAAATACGGTAGACTACGAGTGACATCAGCAGCACAGCATCACTTCCGAGGATAACGCAAATTGCATGAATGTAATGCAAGGACGTCATCTAAAACATTAGCTATCCCTGAACTGCACAGATCATCTAACAAGACCGTTTTCAGTTGACTACGAATTATTGCAAGAGGATTATTCATGCCTTTGTTCCGACCCCACAACATCCCAAATATCGACTTCAAAGATCTC